AGAGAGAGAGAGAGAGAGAGAGAGAGAGAGAGAGAGAGAGAGAGAGAAAGAGAAATTATTAAGGGCTTAATAGATGTTTGCCACAAAGTCCTACTTCTGGCTTTCATCATGCTGAGGAAGAAACCCTGGCATTTAGTCAGTCAACTAACAAGCATTTATTAAGCACCTACGGTGTCCTTAGGCACCTGTGCTGAATACTGGGGATACAAACAAAGGCGAAAACCCGTCCCTGCTCTTAAGGAATTCCCAGTTTACTGGGGGAGACAATAGGGAAACAACTATGTAAATTGGAGCTGATCCACGGAGGGAAGGCATAAGCATTCAGGGAGCTCCAGTAGGACCTTCCATAGATGGTGGGATCTTGAAAGGAGCCAGGGGAGAGTATTCCAGGCATGGGGGATAGCCAGAGAAGATGTCTAGAGTCGGGAGACGGCGTGTGTTGTAGGAGGAGTAGCAAGGAGGCCGGTGTCACTGGATTAGAGAGTACATGAGGAAGGTATAAAGCTGCTGTAATAGCAGGGGCCAAGCTCTGGAAGGTCCCACCATGCTGGAAAAGGCTCTGAATTTAGACCTGCTGACAAGAGCAAACAGCCCCATCATGAGAAGGTTGAAGGACCCCATCATGACCACCAGGGAGTGATTTTTTTTGCAATTTATGAACACTGTCTGTTAAGGCCTAGTAGGTTTATGGGTTTCATCAGTGGAGGACAATGCCAGCATTGGTGAAATCCTAGATCTTTGAAGTTTGAAGAGTAGACATCTAAGGCTGTATTATTTAATTAGTCCATGTCCTCCTCTGATGCTCCAAGTATTGGGATTCCTGCTAAGTTAACATACAATAATAACTACCCCCTTGCCTCAGAGAGATACACCATGTTCTTCGTCAGTCTGCTGAGATGGCCTGGATACTTTGGAAAACTTGTGTTTAAGGAGGCATTTGGGGATGCTATCAGAAAAGTTGCACAGTAGGCTCCCTGTAAGTCTTGGCCAGGTTTCCAAAGGTGCTTTTGATACCTGCTGGTTCAGGAATTTGGTGCATGCCTTTGTGAGATAACAGGGTGTGTTGAAACTGAGAATGGAGCTGGGGATAGTGCGCCTGGAGCAACTCCATTTTTGTCAAGTTGCTAAGTGTGACCATCCTTCCCATAGGAAAGCACTGCCAGTGGATAGACGCCTGCTTGTCTCAGCCATGTGCAAATGGAAGCACATGTACCACGATAGCCAACCAGTTCTCCTGTAGCTGCCCAGCAGGCTACACAGGACAGAGATGTGACATTGACGTGAATGAATGTGACACTGCCGGGCGCTGCCAACATGGCGGCACATGCCTCAACCTGCCGGGCTCTTACCAGTGCCAATGCTCACAGGGTTTCACTGGGCAGCACTGTGACAGTCCCTACGTGCCATGTGCACCTTCACCATGTGTGAATGGCGGGACTTGCCGGCAGACTGGTGACTTTACCTTTGAATGCAACTGCTTGCCAGGTAAGGAGCTGTGAGAGCCCCCTGGGTCTGGGGAGATATCAGCTGAGGGTGGGATTGGGTGGAGCTCAGCTCATATCAGGGAAGGAGCCTTCTGTCATGGAAAAGGGGAAGTATGAAGATTATGATTAATGATGTTACAGTGGTGGGGTAGCAGAGGAGGGGGGAGGAAAGGACTTTTATGGACACTTTATGGTGGATAAATCAACACAGGATAATTTACCACGTCAGTATTTATGGTGATGGGTGACTGGGATATTTTTATTGCATCTTTTAAAGGGAAAGTTGGGGAAAGGGAAAGGGGCAGGCATGGGAAAAGAGTTAAGGATACGTCTGAAGGCAGCCTTGAAAATTAGACGCAGCTGTTTATTGGCAGAAGGTGTTGATCTTCCCACTATACATTTATATACATAGACAACCTACACACCCTACCCACTCCTAAGATGTAAAAAGTTGCAATTAGGTATACAGCTACGTATGTAAGGAAGTCGGGGGTCTTGATGTCCCGTTGGAAAGGAGGAAGAAATAAGCTTTGAAGGAATCTTGTTTGAATAATTAGAATGTCAGAAACAGAGGATTTTAACTGGGACTGGAGAATAAGCAGCTGGAACAGATGAATTGCTAAGCAACAACAATTCTGTTTTTATACAAGTGTCTTAGTAATACAAAAAAAAACAAAAGAAAGAAAACTGCAGGGGAGGAAAATCTGTGAAGTAAGCAGAATTGCCTCAAAAAAAAAGTTCTCTCCCCTGCTTTCCAGAGGGAGTTGGAAACACTTAGATTCTGTGAATACGCTTTACTCGCAGAAGTGAATGGAAAGGAAGAAAATTTTTTTTCATTTGAAAGCCGCAGGTTTTGAAAATATATTTCAATTTAGGTGTAATGAATATGGATTTATGCTCACCTGAAAATTACATGCTATTTTAGGACTTAATCTGTTTTTATCCTCAATTTTCCTACATTCAAAAGGCAGGGAATGTATTCACTCTGGGCTCTGAATAAATGTTATTCATTAATGTGTGCTAGTACACTATTAATAGGGACAGCTGGGTGACACAGTGGACAGAGCACCAGGCCTGGAGTCAAGAAGACTCATCTTCCTGAGTTCAAATCTGGCCTCAGATAACTCTTACTAGCTGTGTGATCCTGGGCAAGTCACTTAACCCTGTTTGCCTCAGTTTCCTCATCTGTAAAATGAACTGGAGAAGGAAATGGCAAACCTCTCCAGTGTTTTTGCCAAGACTATCGCAAATGGAGTCACAGAGAGTCAGACACTGAAAACTGAAAAACAACTGAATAACACACTATTCATAATGACATTACTATAAATCATAAAAGCAGGCAATGTGGCATAGTAGATTGTCACTGGACTTGAACTCAAGAAGATCAGGGTTCAGATCCTGACTCAGACTCTTACTAGCTTTGTGACCCTGGTGGACAACTCATTTAACCTCTCTGCATCTCAGTTTCTTTTTCTGTAATATGAGGATTGGGACTTGAGGTCCTCTATAACCTAAATATGTGGTCTTCTGAACTCACATTAATAAAGCATCTTAAAGTATGCAAAGTGATTTCCTCATAATAAGCCTTCCAGATGGGCTGTCGTGTTCTATGGACAACAAAATGGAGGCTTTGGAAGGTTGAGTGACTTGACCCCGTGGTCACACCATCTTATGATTCGTTAGTCATTCAGTCAACAAGGATTTATTAAGCACCTACGTGTGCCAGCCAGTAAGTACCTGGGACTGTATTCGAACCCCAGTGACCTGGGGCCAGCTGTCTTTCCACAATCCCACACAATCTTTCAGTGAGCATCATGCTTGTGGAAAAGATAATTTAAAGGAAATCTTTAGTCTTCAGGACTTTCATTTGTTAGTATTTTAAGAGTTAAGGAAGTAATCTGAATGTGAACATTTCACTTTTCCATATGTTCTGGCATTTGGATATATCAGAAGGCCAAAGGGCCTAAATGATTGAGTTTGGTATGACGTTGTATAAACCTTCAGGGGGCGGGGGGAAAGCTCTTTCACTTTGTAGAAAATGCCTTTTAACAGTTGCCTAGAACCAGGGAGTTGACTTGGCAATGAGACAATGATAGGAAGTCAGAGAAGTCAATAAAGGAAGTTTTTTTAGCTAGGAGAGAGTGATTATTCACTGAAATTCTCTGCATTGTTATCCATCAGTGAGGATAAGGACCCTAGGGAATTCTGAAAGTGTGTACAGGAAGAGATCTGTCAAACCAGAATAATAGATTCTCCAGGAAAAAAGAAAACCCACGTTCGGCGAGAGAAAAGATGTCTAGCCTATTCATCATCATCATAATAATAATAATGATAATAACACATATATTGAGTGCTTTCTTTTAATTACTGTATCTCAATTGCTTCTCATAACCACCCTACAAAGTTGGCAGTACAAGTATTTTCAGCCTCGATTTATAGTGAATCTGAGGCTCTGAGATGTTGACTTACTCATGTAGATAGATGGTAGAAGTAGTGGAGCAATGGGATAGAGCTCCGGGCCTGGAGTCAGGAAGACCCTGAGTTCAAATCCTACTTCAGACACTTATTAGCCGTATGACCTCGAGCAGGACCACTTAACCTCTATTTGCCACAGTTTCTTCAACTATAAACTGTATAGATGGATCAAGTGAGATATTATTTGTAAAATGCTTAGCACAATGACTGGTACATAGTAGATGCTATATAAATGCTAGCTGCTATTATTATTAATTATAATTATTATTATTAATAATAATAATAATAGGCCTCAAACCCAGCTCATCTAATTCCAAGGATTCACTATGTCACACTAGGTCAAGGAATAAGGAGACAAACATTCTCTTCCTGACTCTCTGCTTACCATTTCAAGCAAGTCATTTATCCTCATTGGTGAAGTAAGAAAGGTAGGGAATTAGAGAAGAAATGATAGATCTGAACTACCTCAGAGTGTTTTGAGCTTCAGAGAATGTCAGTTCCTTTTGAATTGTTGGGGGAAAAGTAAAGTTTGTTGTTTCAGTCATGTCTAACTCTTTGTGACCCCATTTGGGATTTTCTTGGCAAATATAATGGAGTGGTTTGCCATTTCCTTCTTCAGCTCATTTTATAGATGAGGAAACTGAGGCAAACAGGGTTAAATGACTTGCCCAGGGTTGTTCAGCTACTGTCTGAGGCTGGATTTGAACTCAGATCTTCCTGACTCCAGGCCTTGCGCTCTATCCACTGCACCACCTAGTTGGCCATTATCAAAGAAATAAAATGCTTCTGTCATTAGTGCATATAGAGTACCCGCTGCCTTATGGCACTAGCTGGGCGCTGCAGTTAAAAGAAAAAAGAGGGAAAAAAATTAAATCCTCCTGGTCCCCGTCTTGTAGGAGCCTGTGACTTAAACTAGGATGCCCTGGTCTGCTGCAAACCAAAAGATGATGCAGGAAACCTGTGAATAATTATATTTTTGCACAATTTAAGACTTTGAAGTTCACAGTTCATATGTCTAGGAATGTATGGGTGGGGTTGAAAAATAACTCTTAGTCAGGGAAGGCTTCCCGATGGTGGAATGCTTTGAGAAGGCCCCTCCAATTATTCAGCACCATTTCCTTCCCTAAAGAAGTAGACTTGGGATGGCTTTTAAAAAGAAACATGTGAAGCATCCACAAGTACTCTTCTTTATGTGCTAGTTATCACACTTAAAGATGGGGAAGCTGAGTCATCAGAAGGTAAAGTGACTTGTTCTGCTAGTGAGCATCAAACTGAAGGTTACTCGGTTGCCCGAGTAGTGACCTACTGCGTGTACACACTTGTCTGGATTGCCCACTCCATCCATATATAGTCTTGGGGGAGAAACGAGGTAAAATGGAAAGACCCTGGAACTGATTTTGAATCCTAGCTCTGCCATGGACCTTGGGCAGGTTTACTTTCCCTTTCTGGCTCACCTTACCTGTGAATTAAGGGTTTTCAATGAAGTGGCTTCTTAGCACAGTGCCTCGCATGTAGTAACCATTTAATACATACTTGTTGACTGATCTGAAGGTCTTTTCTAGCATCAGGTCAATGATCTTCTGCTCTAATGATACGAATATGCAAACCAGTTATAACTGATTTAATAATGCTTCCTCCTGCCACTTTTCTGGCAAAAAATAAAGACCTCTATTTGTGTTTAGCTCATAGATCTTAGAGCTGGAAGAGATCTTGGAGCTCTTCTAGTCCAGTTCCTTCATTTTACAGATGAGGAAACTGAGACCCACAGGGCTTAATTGACTTGACCTCAGGTCAAGGTCACACAGGCAACAAACATCAAATGTGGGATTTAAATCTGGATCCTCTGACTCTGAATTCAGAACCCATTCCCCTACACCATGCTGACTTCATTAGAGAAATATTTCCTGGGGTGGGAGAGGAGAGACATCAAGCTTGTTTGTAAAAATTCAGAGTTTTTTTCACTAGCATAAAATGTAGCCTTTGAAGACTCCAAGAAGAGGGGGAATAGAAAGATCTCTAAGGGGCAGAAAAGTAGAATCTACTCCAGCAGGTAAAGGCCCCTCTGTTCTCATGGATCAACAGCTGTGAACATTTCAGACCTTTCATGAGTTAACATTATATAAACTCCTTAGCAGAAGCCTGTATGTATGTGTACTGAGGAGTGGCACCCAGCCAAAGAAGGTTTATCATAAGAACACAATAGAACACTAACGAAAATTATCAAATCATCAACTCCCAATATTATTGGGTCGGGGCCAGCTGGAGGAAGAACTGGGTAAGGGTGGTTTTGTGGGTAGGTGTGCATTTTAATAAAGCAGTACAAGTCATCACAAAACATTGGGCTGTTTTTAAATCTATTGGCTGTCTCTTGAGAGTTGACAGTTGGATTGGGTAGTGTTAGTGTTCAGTATGTTTTCCCCCTCCTTCCCACATACCCCTTCATTCCTCTTCTCTCTCATGTCTTCTTCTAAATAGGAACCTAGTGGATGGGCCTTCCCCCATATCCCTAGTAACTATCTTTGCACTTAGCACGCTGATGATTATTTATTATCCCTTGGTCATTAAAATAAGGATGGAGCACATTTTGTGGGTTTCGTGTCTGCTGTGTTTCTGCTAGGATTAAGAGTTATTTGGTTTTAGTTTTTCCATTCTCTGAGTTTTGACATACTCCGAGATAAGTGACTGCCTCCCTGGCCATGGCACCCTGCTTTGGCAAACCCCTCTGACTTTGGGGTCAAGTGCCATGGGACTTACGGTACTACTGATGATGGTCCTTGGGACTGGAAGGCAAGACCTGCTTACCTGATGTACCTCAAAATTCTGGCCAAGAATTTGAAAGTTAGGGAGAAAATACATTTCTAGCTATACCCAGGATTACTTTTGCATCCATTGTCCTTTTGTGAATTTCTAGAAAAGTGGATTTAGTAGATAGAAATATAATGAGAGCTAGCTAAGAAGAAAAAACAATAGTAACAAGGACGAGCCGTCAGAAAGGCTAAATCCCATGAGCCTGTAATTTAGGTTTTGTTAGTCTGTTTTTTGTACCGGTCCTCTAGTTTTCTCATTGCAGATTTGCTTATTCCTTGAGGTTTTTCACTCACAACCTTCAGAATTCTGTCAGCTTTGCCTATAAGAGACCCTTTAGGGAAGTTCAACTGGGTAACCTCTCTTTTTTCTACTAACTCATTCCACAGATACACACCCATCAGACTCGAGAAAGAAGGTGCAGTGGCTTCTAACAGGGATGTACTAGTTTTTGGAATTATGGGTCCAGAAGAGTTTTCTGTCTCACTCTTCCCTATAACCTTCTTCCTTCCCCCTACTATCATCAATAAGCAATCCTGCCCATGGTACTGTGACAGTAGGATTTTGAACCATACCTCTGAAGCTATTTCTCCTTACTTATCCTTTTAAGGATTTAAATTGGCTTAAGTTCATATGGTCCGGCTATCGTGCCAATGTGATCCTCCCAATGAACCTGACACACCCAGCTATTTCTCAACCCTTTAACCTGCACGTCTGGAAACTTGTCATCTGTAAAATGTAGAAAGGGGAAGTGACATGGCCCTAGTGGATGGGAGAGCAGCCTTCAAAGTCACTCAGTCTTGAGTTCTAGTCATTCTTCTGACACATATTAGTGCAACATGCCACTCTCTACGACTCCAAATTACAAGTGAGATGCCAGTCTGTAACAGTGGAGGGACTTCCCATACCAAGGAGTTCCCCACACCAAATGAAGTCACAAATTTGGATCCCTCCCCCCAAAAAAAAGTAGGAGTGAAGCTGAGTGATTGCTAAGATTCCTTCCAGATCTAAAATTCTATGATTCTAGAAAATGTTTGTATAGATAAGACCTTGTAAAAGGCAGTAGATAAATGTAGGATTGAGCCTCCTACCCCTAAATGTAGTAGTATAAATGTAGGAGTGGTATAATAGTATAAATGTGGTCATGCATTCCGTACAGTTATGTATGAGATCATTAAAAAAATTGGGAGCCCAAAAAATAATCTAGTAGCCTTGGTCATACTTAGTAATATCATCATTATGGTGTTCCTAAAGGAACATCATTCCGTTGAGTCATAATTTCCAGTTTCATTTAAATCCTTAGTTTCACAGAGAGTGATTTCTTTTCGTCTCCACCCAAATTATCTGGCCAGTGTTATTTTGTGTGGTTGCTGCTGGAAAAAAAAAGCAAAATAAAACAAACAAACTTGCTGGGCCTAGGGTGGAGTAGCATAGATGTAGAATTCATAGGAAGAGCTTGTGATGGAGATAGAAAAGGAAAGAAAGTACAAGGGGTGACTTGGGAGGCCCAATATAATGACTGAGGCATGGTGGATTTTGTCTTAGAAGTTGGTAAGCCATTGATCTTGAAGCTTAGTGGCTTTGGATTACATCAGTCAAGGAGGGACCCAAATCTCAGTGCCAGAAATAGGCTGGAGAAGGGCAAACCCACAATGGGACCACTAGAAACGATCAATGGATAGAGCTGCTATTAAGAGGAGGGTGGGTATGATCTTCTGTGCTAAAGCAAAGAACAGAATAGAGAGGAGATAAAGGAGTAATTTAGGGGGAGAAATGAATTTAGAATATTGGTACATTTAATGGACATAATGATATCCTTGTGCATTCTAATAAAAAGGAATTTAATTATGACAGCTCTATTATCTTACCTCCTTCTGTCCCTTCCCTTTCCCCAACCCGAGTGACTGACATGAAGGAAAGAATTTGGTGGGCATGTTTTTAAAATACTACCAGTGAAGTCCTAGTAGCAGGAAAAGTTCACCTTCACCAGGATTTTATCCTATGCAAGTAAAATGGGAATCTGGATGTTCCAGTGGAGCTTTGAAGCCTCTGGAGGGGAGGGATCACAATGAGGGAATTATACTAGGTACAGTATGTAATGTTTGCTGTATAGAAGAAAGAGTGTGGGGGAGAGGTTTCTGACTGACGGTTCTTGGGCTGAGCGTACACTTAGAGCTGAAAGAGACCATAGGGGCATCGTGCAGACCAACCCCCTTTTCTTACAGTTGAGGAAACTGAGCAGAACCTGCTGGCTGACCAAGTTTGGATCAGAACCTGTGGCAGATCACCTTTTCCCTGTGTGAATTACTGACCTTTTTTGGTTACTGTTCCTCTTGTATCAGGTTTTGAAGGAACCACTTGTGAGAAGAATATTGATGACTGTCCCAACCACAATTGTCAGAATGGCGGAGTTTGTGTTGACGGGGTCAATACTTACAATTGTCGCTGTCCTCCACAGTGGACAGGTAAGTGGAATGTGCCGTAGGTGTGCTGAGACCGGAAGGGCATTGGCAGTGGCACCAGGAATGTTTCTGATGAGGCCAGTGATTGGCATATGAACTTCAACAATTTACACTGAGCCACTGAAAAGCCACTTTGTGGTCTGTATCTGAAACCCTCTCAGCTCTTACTTACTCAGCTCATTACTATAGGGTACATTTCCATGCCCCAGACTCAAGATGTTGACCTTTCTCAGCTACAGGGAAATATTTCAATTAATATTTTTAAATAGATGCTGATCAAGCATTCACCATTTACTGAGTACTATGGGGATGAGGGTAGGTGAAACAAGAGAATATATTAGAGACATTATTCCTGGCCTCTAACAGCTTATTGTCTCATTTAGGAAATATTTATCAACATTTATGAATCAGGTAATGATATGAGATAGTATCGAATTGTCTAAATGCATTGTATGAACAGTAAATTTTTGTAGGATTTCAGAGAATCGATCTGTTGATCAACAAACATTTATTAAGCTGTGTTCCAGGCACTGGAATACAGTCAAATATGGAATAATTTTTATTATTTATTTTCCCTCAAGGAGCTTACATTCTATTGTAGGAAAGACTTAGGGAGACCAATGAGGAGGCCATTGCATTAAACCAGGAAAGAAGGGATGAAGGCCTGAATTAAGTGGCTTAAGTAGGGGGAAGTGAGATGGAGGTAAGCCATGTTGGAAAAGACAAGATTTGGCAATGTGAGTGGATTATAGGTGAGGGAGAGTAAGGAGTTTTGAGGATCCTGTTGAGTTTGTGGAGCTGAGAAGCCAGAAGGAGTACAGTGCTCTCAAAAGAAACTGGAAAGTTTGGAAGAGGGTTGGATTTGGGGAGAAATGGAATGAATTCTGTTTATGTAGGCTAGGTACCATTTTACTTCTCTCCATAGTAATGATTATTATGAGCTAGCATTTATATGGTACTTTAAAGTTTGCAAAGCACTTTAGAAATATCTCCTTTGATCCTCACAACAACCCTGGGGAGTTGGGATGCTAGCCCCACTTTACAGATGAGGAAACTGAGGCAAACAGAGTTAAGTGACTTGTGCAAGGTCACAGGACTAGTGAAGGTCTGAGGCCACGTTTGAACTTAAGTCTTTCCAACTCCACGTCCAGCTCTCTCTCTGTGCATTATGGCGCCACTTAATCATCTGTGTTGTGTAATTGTGTAAAGTGCACATTGATGTCATTATGTATGTGATACTACCCATCACCCTCTATCTGCCTTGCCCATTGTAGCATCAGGAGTCCCCAAAGTAAGAAAATAGGCTTTCTGCTCCTGACCTGTACACCACCAACCACCACTGTAGCTTATACATAGAGACATCTCAGGGAGTAGTTTGTTGAATGAACTGAATTGACTTAATTGGGAGCCTTGTTCTGTTTCTTTTGTCTTGCAGTTAGGGCTAGAGAGTTGGGGGCTGGTGTTGTCCAGCTGCTCATTCATTTTTGGAGGTTAAATGTTTTTACCTCAACTTTTAATTCCAGCTTAGGCAATGAAGAACCAGGCCTTCTTAAAGATGATGATCAGAGTATTGATGTGTGTGTTAGAAGTGAAAAGTGGAGAAGGTTTCTGGTGGGGGAAGGGAGAGAGACAGAGACAGAGGAGGAGAAAAAAAGAGAGAGAGCCACATTACCAATGATAATAATATCTTTCCTGTCCTCTTCTCCCCCCCCCCAAAGAAGACTAATGTTAAATCCCAACCATAACAATTGTTTTTCCTCTGAAAGATCCCTTAGTCCTTGTTCCCACCTAATTATTCCCTGGTAGAGGGAAGGATACTGGGGATAACTGTGATGTAAGAATCAGAAGACACCAATAAAAACTTATTTTTTTTTAAAAAAATTGCCTAGTAGCTTTCCTGGAAGGACATCCATTTCTGCTTTTAGGCTCCAAATCTGACACTTGTTTAATACTTTCTCACCAGGCTTCCCTGGGGATGGACTTCCCCTAGAATTCTTCCTGGTGTCCTCAGCATGTGAACTAACTTTCAGCTTGTTCTAGCATCTCCCTTCTAGTCTGTTGCCATTGACACAGGAGGTTTTCAGAAGCCAAAACATTTTTTAATTAAAAAAAAAGTTGATGATAGTGAACAGAAGCAGGAGAGCAGTTTAACTACATCACCAACAACATTGCAGAAGACTTCCGCTTCGATGGCTGTAGTGGCTGAGTCGGGACTCCAGAAGCCTGATGCCAACGAAGCGTGCCCCTCCCCACCACATGCACCCCGTTGGCAGAAAGGTGTTGAAGAGTATACGCGAGACATAACCAATGTGACACTTAGTTTTGACTCTGCTTGCTTGGTGCAAGGGAGGACTTTTATTTGAGGGGGTAGGGAGTGTGAAGAGGGGCACAAAAGGAAGGATGATGATAGTGATGGGAGGAAAAAAGCAAAGAAAGAAAACATCACCAATGAAACGTTTTAAAAAATATACTGAAAAGAAAAGTAAATAAATAAATATACAGAAAAGAGCAGAAGGAAATTCAGAAGGGGACACAGACCAGGATGGCAATGTTGGTGCTGCCATGTTAAATGTGATGTATGTAGTTTAAAAAGAATTTGATAGGGTCACGATTTCGTATGCAAAAAGAAAAAATATAAGAAATAATGTGACTTGATTATTAGGGAGGTTTGATGGTTGTTTTATAATCTCTCTGTGGTACTGAGCAGCATAAGATACTTGTTAAGAACTTGATTATATCCTAATCTCTTCCATGCCCTGTGGGAGAATGGTTCTGTGTGGTACGAAAGCCTCTGATGCCCGTGGAGATTAAAGAGCTTTGTAATTTTTCTTTTTTTTTTAATACCAGTTTCCTGCTCTGACATTTACTAGGAAGGCCCAGCCCCCAGCAGCCTTTCCCAACCTCGTGATATTTTACCAAAATATCTGTCCATAACATTGTAAAAAAAACATTACCTGTTTAAAATCCCTTCTCTCCATTTTGGGAATATCTTCTGGCAGGAGACAGGGTGTGAAGATGGTGAAATAGTGATTGGGAAATCTTGTCCAGGCACTTTTCTGTCACCCCTTTCTGCCAAAGGGACCCCCAGTGTCCGAGTTAGCATCCCATCAAACATCACTTTCTTCTTTCTCTAGTTAGTCAACCATCATTTATTAAAAAGTCCCCACCGTGTGTTTTGGCACTGGGCTAGAGGCTCACAGGTTATTTTTACTTTTCACACCAGCTCTTTCATTTCCAGTAACTGCCATTTTCTAGTAATTTTTTTTCTTTGGGTTACATGCAGCTGAGCTGATGGTTTTTCCTCTCTGAAGGAAAACGGGTATGAAGGAGTGGCCTGGGATGTTCTGCCAGCTAGGAAGACGGCAGAGCAGTTTCTGATTCTCAGAAAGTTTCATCATTACCTTTTACTTGGTCGAGAATCTGGAGCTTTGGTTTTAATTCAGGTCCCTTGATGTGAAATTTCAGAATAACAACATGTAGCCAGAAGCAGTAGCTCTCTGTGCATAAGGGACAGTGGGTCTCCTCGTAGGGTCCCTGAACATCTGCTCAAAGACTTGATAATCCTAATATTTAGTAATTTGAATTTCATGTTTTTTTAATTAGTCAGGGCTTTGCAAAAGCTAATGAATGCAGTGTTATGGAAAAATAAACCCAACATAGCTTGAAGGTTTACCTTATATTTGGTTTAGTTCATTTTTAGCAAGGACTTTTAGGAAGGCCCAGGCCAGAGCAGTCTTTCCCAACCATGTCACATTTTATCCCAGTGCACAGAATTCCCTTCCTTTTTCCATGATGAATTTCTCTGCAGAAAGACATGTCTGACCCGACTTGGGTCAGAGAAATTAGCAGTAGCAGCAGTGGTAGAAGAGACAGTAGTTGCATATAATGATGTAAAGTTTGAAAAACACTCCTTGGATCTTCATGACAACATTTGCTTTTATTAGTTCATTTCAAAGATGAGAAAATTGAGGCTAAGTGACTTGCAGCTAGTTAGGTGTCTGGTTTTGTTTTGTTTTTATTTTTTTGTTTTTGTTTTTTTGTGTGAGGCAGTTGGGGTTAAGTGACTTGCCTAGGGTCACACAGCTAGTAAGTATCATGTGTCTGAGGCCAGATTTGAACTCAGGTTCTCCTGACTGTAGGACCAGTGCTCTATCCACTGTGCCACCTAGCTGCCCCCAGCTAGTTAAGTATCTAAGGTAGGATTTGAATCTAGGTTTTTCTAGCTCCCAAGCCCAGAATTCAGTCTACTGTATGACATGACCTATATGAATGGACAGCTATGTGGCGCAGTGGAGAGAGAGCTGCCGCATCTGGAGTTGTAAAGACCTGAGTTCTAGCTGTGTGACCCTGAGCAAGTCACTTACCCATAGCTTGCCTCAGTTTCCTCAGCTGCAAAATGGGGATCGTGAGAGCACCTAACTGCCAGATTTGTTTTGAGGATAAACCAAGATGATTGCAAAGGGTTTAGCATGAAATCATTATTATTATTATCATTATTAGCTATTAAGCAGAGAAGAAGGAGCTGCTGGTGTGGTACATTGACCAGGAGGGGAAGTATGATTGCAAACTGTCTTTGTGGGAAGGACTAGGTGGGTATATATTACCACAGAAACTTGGCATTGCATGAACTCCCTGGAGATTTGAGACCATAGAACATATTTATTGAGAAGACCTTGATGGAGAGAGTTTTGTTTGCTCCTTTCTGTGTCAGTATTCTGCATCTGGTAAAATGACTGCTCAGAGCCTGAGAGTTCAAATAACTTGACCTTTTAGTAAAATCATATTCCAGTACTCTCAGAAGCAGTTCTCAAGGCAGTTAAGAAGCCACTTGGGGGGCAGCTAGATGGTGCAATGGATAGCACACTGGCCCTGGAGTCAGGAGGACCTGAGTTCAAATCCAGCCTCAGACACTTACTAGCTGGGTGACCCTGGGCAAGTCACTTAAGCCGATTGCCCCCCAAAAACAACAATTTAGGAAGATAAAAAATAAAAGCCACTGGCAA